CACATTGCACTTGTTCACAGAATATCACTCGCTGTCTGAAACATACTTTTTGGTTTGCTTACAAAAGCCCTGTCCAAACGTCTAGTTGTGTTGAGAAGAGTGCCTGACACATTCAGGAATATTATTTCGTGCCGTTCGCCACGAAAAATCGCCATCTCGCGAACTATTACTTCGACGCTACTAGTACAGTAAAGGTGTCAGGACCACCTAGTAGTGTTCAGATTTACAAAGGGAGAGTAAGGATTGGGGTCGTCTTTTGCAGTCTCATTTCATGGCTCCTACAACTCACTTCCTTGGAGATATAGAATATGTGGTGGGTTTTTGATATTATGCAATAAAATGACTTGTCTACGTATCATGGCTGACTCATCTCTCGGGATTGGTGATGCAACAGCTGAAAATAACTTCCCCACTCGTTCCTATTATTATCATATCATACCGGGCCAATTTTTCAACGATAGTGTCCCGCCCTGTGAACCGCTAAGTATTATAAGTACTAGCTTCACTCTCACCAAATTTTCGAAGCCTACACGGTTGGTTTCTCCAGCTTGCTATGTCTGGTTCAAAATAAAAAAAATAACTTGCTTGTTCTGCCCAGAAGTATGATAGCTTCATCTGGTTTTATTTCTATAAAATTCATTGTCAGCTACCGTACTAATTAGACGTGGGGTTTAGTACAGGTAATGTACCCGAGTAATTGCACCAGGTTCGAGCCCATCTGGACTATCGCAGCCGGGGGCACTTTCTTAGTAATGAAACGGTTGGGAATTGGGTTGGTGAAACCCCAAACTTTGAATCGCACCCCCGCTTTTTCCCATGGTTCCCACCCTATCTATGATACCACCATATCCTTTCCCCTCCCAAGAACGCCCGGCGCAGCATGGGTCATATAAAACCCGACACCCGGTTAGAAGTGACACTATCAACTCGTTTAACGCGATAATCAGCCACAACACCGTCACTATAACCAACGTGGTGGCCGATGACAACCCACATGTTCTACGGTGGCTATCATCACTCGAGCCTCGGAACAGGAACAAGGACGTAGGCAACGCCCGACCGGATGGCGTAGGAGATTGGCTTTCGGAAGCAGGGGAGTTTCGGAAATGGGGTAGCAGCCAAGATGAATCCTGTGCTATTCTGCCCAGGTAACCAAGTGGTGGGAAAGACGGACATTAAGTGAGAAATTATATCCCCCAAAAATTGGGCAATGCTAACTAGTGAGGATATTTAGTTCTCTAGTCAATGACAGTTTGTGTGATCGACCTCCCGAAATGAGCGTTGCTGGTACCTTCCTGTACTGTGACTTCCGCACACAGCAGGAGCAGACCTCAGTAAACATGCTGGGCGCGGCACTCAAGCAGCTCGTATGTAGAAAAGATGCGCTGTATCATATGCACGAGGCTTTTCGAGAAGGAAAAGAGCACTTTGGGGGCCGAAACCCCCAAGTCCTTGACCTGGTCAGGATGCGAAAGATCGCTTTGGCATCTCAGCAGCGAGTTTCTCTTTGTATAGATGCTTTAGGTTAAGCTCTTCCGGATCGTTTTGACCTTCTCAAATCGCTGGAAAGCATTCTCCGCAGGTCTCTAGGTACCCGGGTATTTTTCTTACCAGTAGGCATCACATGCAGAGTGAGGTTGGGAAATATCATACTTGACGGATTTATTCCCATTACCCCCAGAAACTCTGATATCAAAATATCTCTCAAGATGAAGTTAGACAAGGATCCCGTGCCCAATGCAACGGGCAATTATTTATGATACAAGTGGAAATAACGAGAAACATTCCGAAGACCGTTTCTAAGATGCGCGTAGGAAGATCTGTGGTAGTGACTTTGGCTTAAGCTATCTACTAATACTCGTTTCCAGATCCCTTCTAGTTTCACTCGATATCGACACACACCAGGGGAGACAAAACCCAGAAGACAAGAGAAAAGCTCGACGAAATGACAAACGGTAAGGGGCTAGGTGATGCATGCGGAGCGACAATCGAACGAATTATGACCCAGAATGGGAGCAGATCAAAACTAGGAATAGAAGTTTTGGTGTGGATGGCTCATTCGCAACGGTCGTTACGGGTTGACAAACTATGGCATGCCCTTGGAGTAAAGATGGGGTCCGGAGATCTCAATACCCACAATGTCGCTTTGATAAGGACATCACTCTGCTGCTCACTGGGGCTTGTCACTGTTGAGGATCCCTCCGCTTGGTTCACTTTACCCTACAGGGATATCTTTACGCCAAAGTCACCCTATCCCATAGTCCTCGTGCGACCGCAGCCGAAGTTTGCTAAACCTATCTAAATTTTAATTGTGTTAAGGACCTATTGCCTGCCCCCGTGCTGCCCCTTTTGCCAAAAACGCTACATGCCACCGGGGGACGCACGTGCGAAGAGAACCCACAGAAAGCGTAAAAAATCACCTGCGCTCAACTTACCCGATAAATACGAGAACCACATATCTGCTAAGCTCTGTCTAAAGAATCTATACACCTGACCGTGGACTATCGATGATGAAAGTTACCTCCAAGGATTCATCAGACTTTATGGAATGGTATGCCTCGGTATCACAGAAATTGCAGCTGCTCTAATCAACCTAAAAGATTGGGATTCTAACGCTGTGGACTTCACTGGAAGCGCGGCACTGCGTGGGCTGTTAGATCCGGGAATGCGAGAATATTAAAGATGCTATTAGAAAAGCCCAATACGAACCCCGAAATGGCGGATACCTCTGACCAAGCAACGCTCTCATGGGCCGCAATGCTATTGGACCAGGAAGAGGTCGACCCCACAGTCACAGACACTAAATGGGGCAAACACCACTCCCCCGGACCGCTGGGAGAGGCCAAGGGGGAATAGTGAAGATGCTCCTGGAAAAAGAAGACGATGACCCTAATTTGGTGAACAAAACAACAGGGCACCACTCTTGTGGGCTGTAGAGAATGAGAATGAGGAAATAGTCAAGATGCTACTCAATCACAAAGATACTAACTCCAACTTTTGCCGACACAAGACGTCGAACTCCACTCTCAATAACTATGGAGAAGGGGCAGGAGGAAGTGGTAAATATTCTACCCGAGAGGGAGAACATCAGTCCTAATATTGTGGACAATAAGGGTGTTGAACGCCACTCATGTGGGCCACTGAGGTGGGGTGGGACACGGAGGTGTGATTAGGATGCTACAAGAGCATGGAAATGGCAGTGGTGATGAGATTCGACGAACGTTCGCATCGACTAGTGGGAAGCAATTTCTGTAAGACTAGCCCACACGAGGGGCATCATATGTAGCCAGGAAATTACATCCAGGATTTTTGGTGCAGTCAAGGATTCGACTTTCTCTCCCGTCATAGCACAAATCCCCATTTTCTATCTTTCTTTTTCACCACCAAAATCTTACTGTCTTTTTTATTTTTCCCTTTTTCCGAGGGGAATCTCGAAGGCTATCAACACCATAGAGTAATATGCACGACATAATATGCATATAGAAAGTTTTCTACATCAATACTAAAACCCCATGGGGGATCGGATCGAGTACAGATCCCCCTCATTACTCACTTGCCCCGCCATAAGTACAGTACAAGTGCCAGGAAACAGGGATTTTCAAAATATACTATCATGGTAAAAAAAATCTGAGCCCATCCGAGCCCCAATCCAAAATATACCCCCCCCCCTCCTGTTTCCTGACCCTTATAGCCCTGGCTAAGTGCTACAAGCACAGCTATGCATTGCGGGGTTCCGCAAGTATCATACCCCAGGGCAAAAGTACCGTACTATGCCAGTAAAAAATAAAAAAAACCCTGTATCATACCGGTACTAGATCGGCACCAGCAGCGCAGATCACAAGCGCAATCTTGTACGAGTATTGTACCACCAGCACCAGAAAAGCAATCCAAAATCTGCTCATCATACCTTACAAGTACTGTACATACAGGAACCGTACCTTACCTTATCAATACTTGGCCTCCCTGTACTACGGTATCATACAATGTCATGTTTCACAGTGCTTGAGCAGAGCAGAGTACCGCACCGTACTGCATTGTACTGTACCACCCGAGGCGCAGCAGACACGCAATCCCTTCGCATGCAAGGATGATACTTGCACCTTCGCAACCAACCGAACGAGACCCCCCCAAAATACTGTACCGTACTCCCCCACCCATGCTCAGACAACCACGCCACTATTGTGCTGTGCTGCACGAGCAGTGACTCAAGCCCCGAGTGATATACTATGACCGCTTCAAAATTCACGTGAGATGGCAAAAAATTAAATCGAGCGCCAGAAATAGCCATGTATTTAATTGATCCCACCGCGATGTCTGCTGTGAAAAGTTGCACTTCGGCCGCGGTTGACGTGAGGTGGGGCAACGGTGAGCTGGGGATTGAGTGAGGAGGGGAAAAAAGGAATTGACCACCGTAATCACTTGGTCTGTCAGGGGGGTGTGCCCGCGAGATGTTGTCAAGAAAATAACGAGCGCTGGAGGGTTGTCCTTCCCCTACTGGAACTGAACCGCTGCTGACTCATCCGCTGAGATTTGTATATGTTTTCTTGTTTCCTTATGTATCTCAGAGGGGCCCAGGGAATGCTTTTTCTTTTTCTTTTCTTCTTTTTTTTTTATACTAGTTTTTCACCACAAGGTGGGGGATTCTCGACTACACGGTATGATACATGGTTCAATTATTCGAGCCCTACACGGTATCATACCATACAAGAGTTTTTAAGTTGGTACCTTATCCACCGATCCCTTGGGCACGAAGACACAACCACGCATTACCACAACCAGAGCAGACTAAATTTTATTCCGGGCAAGCATGAACATGAATTGAATTAAAGAAAAGAGAGAGAGAGAAAACGCCCGAAAAAAAAAGAGGAGTAGCCCCAACCCAATTCTCCCCAACCCACCAGATCCCAATCATTAATATCGTTGACAAAAAAAAGGTTTGTGCATGTGGCGGTCTGCTGTTGTGGTTATGATTTTTTAAAAAGTAAAGAAACAAAGCTTTTTTAGAAGCGCTTTAGGCCGACTTTTCTAGCTGCTGCTCCGGTCTTGCTTGACTTTCCGGATGCGGCTGATTTCTTGCTCGGGTCTTTCTTGGTGACGAGTTCCTTCTTGGTGGCAGTAGTGGCGGCAGCGGCGGTGAGCGGCAGACGGGAACCAGCGCTCTGGCCCTGCTTGAATTTTGGCGACTTGCGCCCACTATCTTCCGCATCTTCATCTTTTTCCATACCGCCGGCGCCGCCGCGCGTCTCCTCCGCCTCATCCATTGAACGCTTCCCGAGCGGCGACACAGGTCTCGCGACGGAGCGCCTAGTCTCCGCGTTCTCCTTCCCCGAGTCGCCGCCCTCGGAGTCGGAGCATTTCTCCTTCTCCTTCTCTTTGCCTTTATCCTTGCGAACAGCGGCGGATGGTTTAACAGCCTGTTTGATCTTCCTCTTCTGCTCACCGGGGGCCCTCGGATCCTTCTTCCCAACACCTTGATCCTCATCCTCACCCCGCCTCCTCGATTCCTCCACCAGCCCCTTCAATTCCTCCGGCACACCCGCGTGCACGTCCGTCATGAGCCGCGCGTGTCGCGCATACCCTTCGTAGTCCTCCAAGAGCAGTTTCCCGGCCGCTTCATTAAGTGAACTGGTCGGGTTCGGGTACACCAGCAGACAGCGGATGGTAATGAGCACGTCCCTCAATGTGAGCGTGGGCTTCCAATCGCGTTTCAGCGTGTCGACGCACACGTCACCACTGCGCTCGTCCACGTTTGGATGGAAGATCTTAGTCTTGAAGGAAGCCTTTGGCGGCTCCGCGGGGTATGTTGGTGGTATACGAAGGTGTATTTGGAAGAGGCCAGACTCGAAGGGTGTTTGCGTGGGCCCTGCTAGGAATATTTGCAGGCTCGTCAGATCGTCTGAGGTCGTGTTTGGCGGGAAGAAGTAGTCCACGGGCGGCGTAGTGCGGAGGGTGGAGTGGTCTTGGGCGAGACGACGGCGGTGGGAGGACTGGTGATGTTGGTTAGCTATGGTAGATAGACAATGGCGGGGGAAGAAGAGATGAAAAGGAACTTGCCATTTCTTTCGTAGTCTCAATGTGCGATAGTAAAAACCTTTGTCAAGATGGGATGAATGGATGATGATGTGGGCGAAGCGGAGGCAATTAGCTTGGGAGAGAAAAAGGTCAGAAGCAGCCAAATAAATACTCCCCCTGAGGAGAGATTGATGTTATTGTTATGGTGTTTGTGGTTTTCGTAAGTGTGGTGGGGAGGTGGAGGTGCGTTTGAGAGCATTCATTCATTCACCCGGCAGGTGCGGTGGGCGACACGAAATAGAGGTATGAATGAAAGGTGAGTGAGAGCGCGTGTTTGTTTGCCAAGACATTTCTCAAATTGGAAATTCCTTAAATCGCGAAATCAACATGGCAACGCGTTGCCATCGTGCAGTAAATTTACGTATCATACCGGCATTGTGCTGAACATAACTGAGCCACATGCTGGCTTTGCCGAGATTCTGAGAGGTGTGGCTGCCAGCTGCATTGCCAGCGTCATGTTCGCCTAACCCTAATTAGGACCTTAAAGTTGCGGTACACTACCGGTACATATCATGCTCAACTCGGAAGGCTTGCCAGCTCCAGACCGAAAGGTAAGTGTTCCTATGTACCATCACGGCTCTTGCTACCAGACTGGTGAGAATGCGTACGATGCTGTGCAAGGTTCCTGCTACGATACATGACTAGCTATCGTGGTATCATATCGAACATACAGCACTTGAGCACGGCGGAGTGCGAGTAGAGAAGAGCTAAAAATCTATATGGTTGTTTATTTTCCGGGTAGATGGAGGTGAGCATCAAGGGCATCTGATTTCCCGGGAACTTCGTGAGAAGGAAGAGAAATGCGGAGAAAGCTACACTACGGTATCGGGAAGGGGCATTCGCCAGCCCACCGGCCCGTGCACTCGTTGATCGGTTTTTCTAATCCTTCATTTCTCTCGGCCTTGGTGAGGGACAGTTGGAGATGAGCATCCAACAATTCAGGTACCTTCGCATTATCTCCGTTATAGTGGACTATCGTCCCGCTGAAAAGTATTCATTCATTCGGATAGGCGGTGTGACATGACATGATATCACCGCCGGGTTTTGATTTGCCAGCGAGGCAGTCCTACTGGCAGTGCGTGATGTATGGTGTTCTGCTCGTACTGTACTGTACGGGTACATGCAACATAGTGCGATATCATACATAACGAGAACACGGAGGAGAAGGAGAAGACGCTAAACGCTTGTCGCAGAAACGATACGGGGTGATCTTTTTTCTTTTTTCTCACACCGACACCGCCGTTCTCAAACGAATGGGTTTCTATGTTTGGAACTTTTGCACCTTTTTGCCTATCAGCTTTCCATCGTATTGTGTCATTTTATATCGGATGCGAGGCACGTCAAACCGGAATATTTTGGAGGGTTCTCTCTCTTTTCTTCTTCTTCTTTCCTTCCTTCACAATATTTCGACTCGCTCTGTTCGTACTCGAGTACTCGAGTACCGGTGCAGTACTCGTACTGACAGACAGACCGGACAGATATCTTGACGCAGGACACGCCGCACTGCAGAAACACGTGTTCCATTCTTGAAGTGTTGTTGAGCCTTGCTGTGCTTTTTTTCTTTTTTTCTTTTCTTTACTCGTTGAGAGTGGGGCTGGATTGTTTTTTCTTTCCCATCATCCTTCAACCAGCACAGGAGGATGGGAGGAGCAGCAGTTTGCCCGCCTGGGCAGAAAGAGGTTTGGTGTGTGTACCGTCGTCGGCTCAGAGCTCTGGAGGAAAAAAGTTTATTGTGCCTGAAAAAGGCTCCACCCTGGTGTCCCGACCCCGGACTGTGAAATGCAACTCTGTCAAAGCCTAGCCTTTCATGGACGCACTATGATGGGAAACGGTTGTCGGGACTGTAATTGGGCGCCCGCAGAGATTGACGTAAGGGCGTAAGAGCTCCTCTTTTGGAAGTCTGTGGGCAGGGATGTGGCTCCCCGAATTCAAGGGCAATCCAAAGGAAACCTTTGGGGTAGAGGAAGAAAGAAAGAAAGGTCTGCTGGTATTGTACTCGTACAAGCACCACCGGTATGATACAAGTACTAGTACAAGTACTCGACCCAGCACACCTCACTCACTCGCTCGACTGGCTCCCTCGTCCTACTCTTCCCCCCTACTCCTCCGCCTCTACCTCCCTTTCTCTGGTCTGTTCTGCTGTTGTCCTTTTTTTCTGGCCTTTACGATAATACATACTTTTCATTTCCTACTAATTTTTCCCCTTGAGGTTCACGTTCTCTTTGCTTGATCGGAAGAGAAAAGGATTTTGCGTGTACCTTTTTCCATGTCCTCCGGCAAACTACCGGACTAGGTGAGTGCTAGAATCCTCTGCCTCTTGCCATTCCACCCAATCCCTTTACAATTTTTTCCCTTTTCTTTGCACCTTGCTGCTGCTCCTCCTGCTTCTCGATGCGTTTTGTACACCTATCATTCCCACCCCCCACCTGTTTTTAGCTGACCAGTAGTTGTCGTCTCTCCCGCAGTCTCTCTCGGCTTGTTGTGAAGGTTAGGTTCCAGGAGGGACAACTGCGCACACAAAAGACAGAACTGTCAACCCTCTCTCTACCTCCAGGTACGAAACACGCAGGGATCCGTTGATTGGTTCCCTTGATAGTCTGCCCATTTAGCGGAGCTAGAGCTAACTTGCAGCCTACTTTTCACCTGCTCCCCAACAAACAGTATTAATATTTCATCACGCGAATCTTCGCCCTCTCTCCTCAGAAGAATCGCATTGTCTCCCTCATCCATCTCCTCTTCACGGCTAGACTCCTCCTTATACTTCTCTCAGTCTCTACCACCGTCTTCGCCGCCTCTTCAACCCAGAGAGCACGAAGAAATTTTTTCCTTTCGTTCCCCCTCCCCCCACCCGGAACTTTCCCCTCCGAGCCAGGACGCGCATTCGCGGTCTTGGTCCCGCTCATCCTCCAACCTTGCTGCGTCGTCGCCCCAGGGGCCCGCTCGACAGCAGGGACGAGGGAGCTCTCTTTACTACACTCCTGCTGGGAGTCACAGGAGCTCGAGTAGCCAGCAACCCCCACTTATTTACGACTCTGGTGAGAGTCCTGTTCTAAGACCTCGGGTTCCTTTGGGCAGGAGGGGTGCCGACTCAGCAAGCGTTGGTAGCGGAATTCACTCCGGTCCTTCGCCAACACAACGAAGAGCTGTGCTGGCTCAGGCACAATACTCGGTTCAAAGCAGGTATACCGAGGACTGGGTCCATCATCTAGGGTATCAGCAACACCGGCGAGGTGATAGCAGCAGCTGTTACGTGGACTCGGAAGCTGGTTCCAACGACGATTCCAACGATTTCGGGGTACATCGTCGAAATCCTTCGAACGCAAAAACAATCACCCCGGCCGACTTTGAAGTAGAGAGGAATTTGAGAGCTCACGAAGGTGATACAGAGTCTTCGGATTACGATATCGGCACGGCTGGCAGCAGGGCTTACAAGACAGCTCCACAGTCATTGGTAGACTTTAGAATCAATACACCACCGCCTCCAATGCCTATACTGCCCAGCAGGTGGGCCACAGTGGTTGAGGAGGAGACTGTGAGGAACGGTGAGGCTGATAAATCAACACTGGATTCACCCTTAACGCCAGGAGCAGAAGATAACAGTATGCTACGAACACCTTCATCATCAACCACCGCCACAAGCGGCATTGCAACTGCCACTTATGATAAATCGCTCCCCATAAGCCGGACACAATCACCTAACCCGAGATTAACAAGAAAATGGAATGGAAAGACAGTAGTAATACAATTACCATCGGACACACCTTGGGGTATAGAAGGTGGACGACCGATGCCTTTAACAAGGAAGGAAGTGGAGGATAGGATGAAAGTGTGGGAATCAAAGAGATATGTTTTACAACCGGTCGGTGGTCAGAGCAGAGTTGTTTTTCCACCGGAAACTCAGGGCAAAATTGAGGGAAGCGACGTCATAGTTAGCATTCCAGACCGAAGAGGTATTGTTGATCTCAGTTCTACCCTCCTGCTCAAGCATAAGCTCGGAATCTGGATCGATTGTTCCTGCTTTCTAACCTTTCGAGCTTATCGAGCGATTATATCTGTTTACTCACTTTTTTAATTATAGATTGGCAAGAATATGTAGAGGCTTTACGGGAAGAGAAACTTAGAGCCTTGGGTGTACTCCTTGATGATGAGCCCTCGAGTGCCGTATCGGGAGGTAGAGGCCAAACACCACTGGTACGTGAATTATTATATACTGTTATCTATCTACTTCTAACCCTATTCGTGAACACAGTCTCACCAGAGTCCTGCCCAGTATAACATGAATCCCTTCCCTCCGCCAGCTCCCACTGCATCTGCCATGGGCGGTGCCAATGCAGGCATCAGTCGCTTCTCGCCATCCATGATGGCGGCCTCTGTGACACCAGGATACTCTCCCGCGCATATGCCTTCTCCAATGGGTGCTGCGGCTGCTATGCATAATCCCAACCTATCCTTCCATATGCCAAGACAGTCCATGTCCATGTCCAATTCTCCAATGGAACACAGCGAGTGGGCGCCATACTCTATGTTTACCCCACCCCCGCCACAATCACAGCCTACCCCACCCGTATTAAACAGTTCCGGTGCTTGGAGCCCGATGAGAGGTGGTTCTCCAATAGTACAAGGATTATATAGCCATTCGCCGGGTTATAGCCAATCACCCAATATGGGTATGTACGGACCTGGATACCCCATGGAGGCAAATAACGACTATATATATCCTGAAGCAGAGGCAAATCAACGGATAAACCACCACAATCATCACCACTCAATTGTCGGTATGGAGAGATATCACCAGCAACAGATACGCCGTGGGTCCCCTCTGGCTCAAGTCGGACATCCAGTGCCAGAGGAGGAGGATAACGAGGTTGCCATTCTTGACGGCCCTATGATTGATGCACCCGTGCCGAAACACCGACATCAGCTCAGCATTAGTCTCCAGAAAGAGCTTGAGGGGGTCGAGAGTTATCAGAGACAAAATGGACACCAACATCGTCATCGGCATCAAGGCGAAGCTGAGCCAAACCTAGAAGGATTCAACACAAACCCTGTGTCACCGGTTCCGACCGTGACATACCCTGAGCAGCCAGAAATTCCACATGTCGAACACGATGTGCATAATGGACCAGAGTTACGGTCAAATCCCGACGATGATGTTTCAGATGAGGAGTCTGAGAAGGTGCAGAATAAGAGGGCTGCGCTGGCACGGGACAGGGAGATTCAGGCAGGCGTTAAACGATACACCTATGATGACAATGCTGCGCCGTTACCGATGCTAGAAGCCCAAGTTTCCGATTCCCAGAACTTCAACCCTCAGGAATACCCTCCACCACATAGCAGGGGTAATTCGTTGAACCAAATACAGCACGACTATGACATGAATAATCCTCGACAGAGCTCTGCCTTGGCAATGTTAATGTCCGGGGCCGGAATAGGTCCTGGGCCCGGTCGAAGCGGATCTGGCATGTTCCCGTCGTATCCTAGTGGTGACGAATTGAGTGAGGACGAGCGGACAAACCTTTCTGACGCGCTCACAAATCCAAGCGTACCTACAAGTCCTGTCAGAAAGTTTTCCAACCCAGCAACTACAGCTCCGCGCACCGACGCGCATACACATCAAATGTCCAGCAATAGCAATGCATGGATGTCTGATAGCGCGAGACCCTCAGGATCTGTTACTTCATCAACGACAAGATTCAATGCTGAAGCTAAAGAATTTGAATTCAAGCCAGGAGCCACCTTCAGCTTTTCTCCTAATACCCACTCTCGGAATCATTCTGGAAACCAGAGCACTAGTGCTTTTGGTGGGTTTGCTAGTTTTGGAACGAGTAACTTCAATGCTGCCGCCACCACTTTCCGCCCTAGTTTCCTGACTGGCTCTCATTCCGGCTTGTATGAGAAAGGAGCAGTTGCCTTTAGTCCCAATGCACCACCATTTATGCCGAGCTCTCTTGCTAAATCAGTACCCGCTTCTCAACATTCAAGCACTCCTTCCGCTCTGCCGCCAATCTTTTCTCCCGTCACAGAGGATGCCACAGCGGTTAAGAAGACACCTTCGGTTGTCCGGCCGCCTAGCAGACTGAATGTGCACCAAGTGGCTGAGGCGGCAGCGGAAGAGGCAAATGGAGACAGGAGAGATATGCCCACGGGTGATGAAGGTGGACGAAAGAGAGCTAAGCATGGCCCGGCATTGAGCGTTGTGAAGGATACTGAAGTGCCATCTTTGGAAAGCCTCACACTCACAACGGATGCTGTTGCTGAGCTTGGTGCTGCCTTAGGTGCTACTACTGTGGTCGAGAGTGAAGGTGAAACCGAAGGAGAGAAATTGATCAAGGAGGTTCCTATAGTCTCTGTTGACAATGGAACTAGCTCGGAGGATTCTAGCTTCCAACCCTTTGAGTTCAAGAACAGGGAGGACGCAGCAGAATTTGCAATTGCAGACTCTAGATGGGATGGGCCTTCTAGACGTGAATCACGCCTTGATATACTCACAGCCGGAGACCAATTGTCAATTGAAGAGGCTCAGTTTATTGCTGCCGACACGCCGCAGGATACCCTATCGGAACGCAACCCCACACCTCCGATCCTGCAAGTTGCTCCCCCTACGAACAAGTTTAACCCCGATGCACCGTCGTTCTCGCTCAAACCCACAGCGCAGGAGTTTAATTTTGAATTTACATCGGGCCCGAAGCCGCCATCACCCTTGTCTAAGAAGTTTAGCGGGCTGGGCGAATCTCGCTATGCTCACACGCCGTCACCGCCTCCGTCTGATCCACCTCCGCCCCCACCTGTCACGCATAACATGCCCGCATTTACTCCTCCGATCGACGGTTCTTACCACCCAAGCTCGGATCCCTACAAGATCAATGCGTTTGGCGAACCCATTGCCAGGCCAAGGCCCACAGACGCTGAGTTGGATGAAGTTATCCGGCATCTAACGACGGTCTCTGATCCTACGTATGCCAATCAAGATACCCGGGAACCGGTTACCGGCGATGGTGATACTACTCCGGAGGAATCAGAACATAGAACCTTGTCTCCATGGAAGCGTGGGAGCCCGAAGAGGATGGGTATTCCCGTTTTTGATGAACAGACGCCCCAGCATGTATTCAACTATTTGGACCGTAGCGCCGGTCCGAGCCCTAGCCCGAGGCGTGCCGCTGCGGTGCCATCTTACATTCCCCATCGCGCTTCATCTTTCTCTCCCGATGAAGAAACTTATGGGCGTGCTCATGCCGCTGGCGAGTCTAGCTATCAACCTCCCTCGCAAGCAACTGGCATTCCTAAGGAAGCTGACAGTGATTGGGACGACATGATATCTGCTAGCGAGGACGCCAAACTACGCCCCCAAAGCCGACTTTTCTTTGATGCACACGTTGAGGAACTTGTTGGTGGACTTTTGCGTGCTAGCCTCGAACCTATGAACAAGAGTATCTCATCGATCCATGACGTACTGAAGATCTATTCTGCTTTGTATCCTGGCAGGGGGGGGGCTGCTATATCTACAGCAGCCCACAGCGATGCTGATGACGAGGACGATGATGACGGCTTTCAACCACCGAGATCTCCTAAAAAGGATCGAAAGGGTGAGATTCGGTCTGCTGTTGTCGAGGCTCTTACAATGCACAACTGGAGCGCTTCTACGGAAGACAAACTTTCCGAGATCTATGGGGCGATTGCAAAGATTAGCCGTGCCTTCCAGGATAACAATCTGAACGATGACTTGGCGGAGACCCGGGCGAGTATCTTGGAAGCTCTTTTGAAGACAGCCCAATCTGAGGAAGTTGCGGCAATGAAGGATGCTATCGCCACATCGGCAAGGACTACGACGAAGGCTGTTGTCGAAATGGCGGAGTTCAAGGCGACATTTATCAACTCCTTCAGCCGGCTTGCTCAAGTGGACGATGTCAATGGAGTACGGGATTCTCTCGAGGAGATGATGGCAGATGCCCTCTCACCAAGTGATCTAGTCGATATCAAGTTGGGATTGCAGGATATTCTTGCCAAGATGACAGCGCAGAGGGGTGACGTTGGCGAGTTAAGCGGTGTGGTTGCGCGGAGAGAGGATTTAGAGCATTTCCAGAACATCGCTATTGATGTCTTCTCAAAGGTTGTCAAGAGCAATGACCTGCTGGAAGTGAAGGTTCTTTTGGGTGACATTCGGGACGCGATCGTTGGCATGAACTTTGCTTCTGAGGTTCAGAAACTTTGTCTTGACAATACTGCCCTGAGATCAATGCTCGGGGATGTGATGAAGATGACCCAGGATAATGCGGAGAACATCGATTTCCATCAAGAGTCACAAGAATCTGTTATCAAGGACAACTATGGAGCGCTACGGGAGAAGTTTGATACCGTCCATGAGTCCATCTCTAGTATCGCCAAACTAATCGAGGAACGCTCTCTTACGAGCGGAGTACGACAACCTGTACCCCTACCGGACGCCGATCTCGCATACCTCAAATCAGTCGTTGAGAAGATTGATAGAGGTGTTCAACTCGGTTCGGAGAGGCAGCTTGGATTGGATGACTTCCGGCAGGTTATTGAGAAGATATCTGTTTCACAACCAGGGCTCGAACAGATCAAGGAAGTGGTTTCCGATGCTGTCGCCGAGGTTTCAGAATTAGGCGACATTAGGTCCATGGTAGAGGAAGTCTTTGAAACTCAGCCTAAGATAGAGGATCTCAGACAAATGATGGAGGAGTTGTTCATGAAACATAAGACGGAGGAAGTCGCGAAGAAGGTTTCGGATGTTAATGTGGAAGAGATGCAGTGGAATATGACTAGGCTGGAGAGAATGCTTGAAGAAACACAAAAGCGAGCGGACGAGGAGGCTCAGCTTAGAAGGGACTCCCGAGAAAAGGCCATTGAGCTAGAGGCTAGACTTAGGATCGCGGAGGAGGAGTGCGTCAAGCAGAGAGAGTTGGTGGAGGAAAAAGATCGCCGATTGAAGGCGATCGATGAAAAGCGCCATCAGACTCTAACCCAGACCCAGATGCGAAGCGCACTTTTGGAGGGCGCTCATTCCTCGCTCCAGAAGTCGGTCATTGACCTCTCAGCCAAGAACACCAGCCTTGAAGTCGGCTTGAAGGAAGCACAGCAGGCTGGCGAACGCCTCCGGGAGGACAACAGCAGCTACGAGGAGGAGAACAGGGAGTTAAGGAGGGTCATCGACACTATGCGAACTGAAATGGAGGAAAGTATCCGAGTCCGAGAGAAAAACCGCGGGAAATTTGACAAATTGCAGGAGGACATGACTACCGCGGCAGAAGAAATCGGGAAGGAGCAAGGCAAATGGCAGAAGACCTCCGAGGAACAGAAGGCCAGGATCGAGGTTCTCGAAGCTAGGTTGGAATCGGAGCTGACGGCAAAGGAGGGTTTGGAGAGTGAGATCAGGAGGTTGGAGCTTGAGCAGAAGGAGGCGATTAAGATGAAGGTTGAATTAGAGCAGGTGAAGAAGGCTAGTGGAAAGATGGAAGGGATCGTGGAGACTTTGAAGAAGGAGGCAAGCGAACGAGAGCAGAAGATTGAAGAGATGGAGAACATCATTCAAAAGGACAAGTCTAGCATTGCTCTACAAGATGCCGAGAAAGTTAAGTCAACCGCCCTCCTAGAGCAGCAGCGCGAGTATGAACAACAGCTGGTCATCATCAATTCAAAACATGAGGACGAGAGCCATCAGATCAGGAGAGCATTGGGCAACGCCAACGAGGATATTCAACGTAACAAAGATTTTATGAACGCGCGCCTTCAGATTGCTTCATCTGAATCTGAGATCCTCCGCGAGCACATTTCCCATCTTAAGGAACAAGTCAAGGTTGCTACATCGGCCGCTCAAGCCGCCGCCCAGGCTGCTACATCTGCCAAATTACTCGCTACGCCAGTCACTCACAAAGCATCTGAGGAGAGGGCGCTTCGAGAGTCAGTCGAAGTCCTTCAGAACCAGCTTCAGCAACGCGAGTCCCGGATCGAGGCATTGGAGCAAGAGCTTTTGAAATTTGATAAAGCTGACATCAAGCGAAAGGATGAGCAAATTACCTGGTTGCGGGAACTTCTCGAAGTACGCATCGACGAGTTGGAGGAAATCGTCCACGCGCTTAGCCTACCAAACTTCGAACGCGAGCGCGATAGCATCCGCGATACTGCCCTCCGCCTGAAGACCAATCTGCAGATGGGACAGCAAGAAAAGGAACGTGCCGAACACAAGGAAGCAAGTCCTGCCCCCAGCGCCCTCGCCGCGAGATTCCCCTCTGTCGCTACAAATGCGTGGGCTAGCTGGAGGGGCAAAGGGGCTAGAACACCCTCGCAAACACCCTCGCAATCTAGTTCCACACCCTCCCGCCCGACTTCTGCTGCTGGCTTCCTCGGCATTCTTACCCCCCCCAGCGCCTCGGCGGCGCTCGGCGGCGCCCGGGGACTCGGTTCGAGGATTACAAGAGGTCCTTACACTTCAGACATTTCCCACCAGTCACTACCCACCCACTCCCTCCGCCAACGTGAGAAACAGCCTGCCGGTCGACGTCTCCCCCCACAGTTATTCCACAAGACGTCCTACGATGATGACGCAGATAGCAGCGCCACCCTAAGCCCTAGCAGAGCACCACTAGTGGAAGAAACGGACGATGACGATGCTACAGAGCGTGGAGATGATAGAGACTCGGATTTAGGAGGGTATTATAATAGGCAATGAGTTGCTATGAATTTGAAAATTCAATTTTTTTTTACTTATTTCTTTGATGTGGGAGGTTGATTGATTCATATAGCGTAGTCTTCGGTTGTTTTTTTATTTTCTATCTTCTGATGTCTTCTCCTTCGCTTTGCGTATGCTTATTCTTACGGGTGATACATTTGAGGTGTAGATTGACGGTGGTGGGTGATTTTGGTGATTCGGATATTTACTCTCGTTTATTTGTACTTTTCTTTTGTTTGTTTCTTTTGTCCGTTTATCATGATTGGGTCGGTGGATGAATGATAGCACGAGCGGAGGTGGGAGGAGAGGTTGCCTGGTCGGGGAGACCTTTACAAAAGGGAGTCGTTTTCTTCTTTTTCGTTTGTTTGTTTTGCTTTACGTTTGATTCCATTCCATTTCCTTCCATTAAAGTTTTCTTTTTAATTCTTCTGATTAGTGTCTTTGACTTCTTTAAACTGCCCCCTTTTTTCTGTTCATAATACCTTTTATTTTATTATATTTTATTCTATCTATTTATTATCATACTTCATTTGTTATGAATAGTGATTCCTATTAGTGGGGGGGGGGTTGTCGTACGTGACGTCTAGGAATTTCTTCCATGATTTCGGATTCAATTTTACAGCTTACATTATCATTAATTTTTTCCCTCTCGCCTCCTGGGTTGTGACACGAACACTACAGCACAGTACAAGTACAGAACAATAGTAGTGTATTTGCGGTGCATTTACTGCTATGTTGGGTGGGTCCCCTGGTTACCTGGTAGAGGGTGATAAGTTATGATACCATGTTGTGTTTTCCGCGCGCTAGTCTGAGAATATGCGAAACGTGCATTCGTGACATTACCATCCAACACCAAACACTCTTGCACTTGCTTTGTGATGATTTGGGCGCCGAGGGTTTAGCGGATATGTTAGACGTTAACCGGTCTGCTATGCAGGTGGAGGGAGCTCATAATGTCATGGTCTGAAAGGACACCGGCCAAGTTAATTCAAAACAAGGAATACCCCCCAATCCGTCACCACTGGTATTTCCACCAGCAACGCCAACCGCACCCAAAGTCTATGTCTTGTCGTGACTTTATGGGAGTTGAGCGGGAGAGCATGAATTTTATCTTCAGTTCTTTCGTTGATATCTGTGCCGGCATTGTGAAGTCACCGCACCAGCCCCGCTACATTTGATAAGGCCCTGAAATCAACCGTGCGATGAATGGCGGTCGTCGGTTGGGTGGGGATGTGGGTTGTTGAATGGTCCGGACGGAAATAAACGTTAGTTAGAGAGAGGGGGAGCGAAATGTTCACGATGGCACGGGGGTTAGATCGTGCCATCTCTGGGGATGTATCATACGTATGATACCCCCAGATGCCAATCCACCGTACCCGGTGGAAGCCGCTGGATCTGGTGGACGAGAGTCGTGGGAATCCGGGGGTGCCGAATTGGTGCTTACTTCCCTGTCTGACACTCTTGGATTACCTCCTCCCGTTGGGGGGTACGAGGTTAGTTAGTGTTCAATATGCGTTGATTTGTATCTAAATATCATACAGAAGCACCGCCGAACCCGTAATGTCATTTGGGGCTGCCTGAGGAGAACAAAGATTACGGTATCAAAATAATTATTATCATGCAAACTTATGATACATTTTTCATAGGGGGTAGAGAACAGGGCATAGGGCTTTGTCCATCAGGGCTAGATTTTTGACCAATCATATGCCTTTGTGCGACCAATCGGGAGTGGGAGAAGAGTCTTTGCTCTCCTTCTTCGTCCCTCCACTTAGTTGCAGGGACTCTCCGCCTCATCCTAATTGTGCCAAACGCAGCCGCTCTCATCCTCGCTGAGCTCCGTGTGACAGTTCCAACACCTGCTATTGTACGCGAAATATCTCGGGTATTTCGCGTCTCATACCATAGGTTTGACCCCAGCTGGCTATCAACACAGATCCCGTCCATATCTGCGTTTGGCGCTGGCAGGCTATCGCCTAATAAGACTTTCGGTTCTGGGGAAAGCGTAAAAGAGGAGACGCTGACGTTTTTCCCCGGATTAGAGCTTTTGCGGGAGTATCTCCCAGTCGTACCCAAGGGGCGCTACGTTTTATCGAAACGAATCAATAGTGGTCAAACAAATAAACGAGGAAATTGGGTTTGGTGACGACGGCCATTTCAACCCAAGCCAGGAGTCCTTGTCAATTGCGGCAATAGAGACGGGGTGGGGTCTGGACATTTACACGTCCAAATAGCTCAGAGGATTCACAATAAATCAGAAGTTATATATCTGCACACATTGGCGGTCGGAAAGAAGATGCTTGGGAGAAGCTACTCGGATACCTTAGAGAGTGGCGATGGTCTAGATGTGGCGCTGCCTAGTCGAGGAACGTACGAGGAAGCTGAGATTATACATCGACGTAAATTGGCGGGTAGGGAGAAGGCTCTTGGGAGTGACCATCGGGATACCTTACGGAGTGTCAATGAGCTAGGTGTGGCACTGCATCATCAGAAAAAGTGGGAGGAAGCAGAGGTTATGCATCGGCATGCACTTGCGGGTAGAGAGAAGGCTCTTGGGAGAGATCATCTAGATACCTTACGGAGTGTCAGTAATCTAGGTGCGGCGCTGCATCAGCAGGGGAAATATGCCGAAGCGGAGGTTATGCATCGGCGCGCATTGGGTGGTAGGGAGAAGGCTTTTGGGGTAGGCCATTTAGATACCTTACGGAGTGTCAATGGGCTAGGTGCGGCATTGCATGATCAGAGAAAGTACGAGGAAGCAGAGGTTGTGCATCGGCGTGCACTCGCGGGTAGAGACAAGGCCCTTGGGAGAGATCATCTAGATACCTTACGGAGTGCCAGTAATCTAGGTGTGACACTGCATCAGCAGGGAAAGTACACCGAAGCGAAGATTATGCATCGACGCGCGTTGGCGGGTAGAGAGAAGGTTCTTGGGAAAGGCCATCCAGATACGTTACGCAGTGTCAATAATCTAGATGCGGCACTGCGTCGACAGAAAAAGCACGAGGAAGCAGAGATTATGTATCGGCGTGCGTCGGCAGGTAACGAAAAGGCTCTTAGGAGTGACCACCCGGGTACCATATTGAGCATCGATGAGCTAGGTGCGGCGCTCCACCAACAGGGAAAGCACGACGGAGCGAAGCTTATGTATAGGCACGCACTGGCGGGCAGAACGAAAATTCCTGGGCTGGATCATCAAGATACCCCCCGGAGTCACAACGAATTAGATCTGCTGCTGCGGAATCAGAGAAAGAGCGATGGAGTAGAAATTACGCATCGAGATGCAGTGGAAGGGGGGGAGACGGCGCTCTCACCGGATGGCCTGGGCACCCCACCGAGTTTCGCTTCCACAGGCGGGAAGCTGGGCAGCCAGAAAAAGCAAGAGGAAGCGGACACGAAACATAGACTTGCGCCGGCGGGAAGAGATATTGTTCTTGGATCATCTCACGCAGGCTTCCTACTTAGTGTCGATGGCCCATCTGTGACTCTGCTTGATCGGAAGAAGTAAGCAGAAGCGGAGGTTATGTATCGACATGCCTTGGGGGCCATGGAGAAGGCTCTAGGACCCGGCCATCCAGATACCCTCAACAGCATGAATATGCTAGGCGAAACGCTGCTTGACCTGGGAAAGTATGACCAAGCGGAAGTTATCTGTCGGCGTGCATTGGCAAATGGAGAAAAAGCTCTCGGAGCGGATCATTCATCTACTCTTAGAAGTGCCGACAACCTTGGTCGGACACTACATCATCAGAGAAAGTACAAAGAAGCGGAGAAGGTGTTTCGATCTGCACAAGCGGGTAGAGAAAAGACTCTTGGGCTCCATGATGTAGACACTATACTGAGCGCTGATGGTCTAGCTGTGACGCTGCTTGATCAGAAGAAGTATGAAGAAGCGGCGATTACATATCGGCATACCTTGGGGGGTATGGAGAGGGCATTGGGCCCCGATCATCCATTTACACTCGAGAGTGTAAATATGCTAGGCGAGATACTGCTTGGTCTGAAAAAGTATGAGGAAGCAGAGGCTATGTGCCGACGCGCTCTATCAGGCAGAGAGAAGACACTTGGGATGTCTCATCGAGATACCTTACTTAGTGTTAACAATCTTGGGGTGGCACTCTGTAATCAGGGAAAGCATCATGAAGCGGAGATTATGTATCGGCGTGCATTCGTGGGCGCGGAGGGGACACTTGGGCTTCAACACCGAGATACTCTGCTGTGTATCTATAACCTAGCTGGGGCGTTGCACAAGCAGAGAAAGTATCATGAAGCGGAGATGATGTATTGGCGCGTGCTGGCAGGGCGAGAGACAACTCTTGGGCCAAGCCATCGACATACTTTCCGGTACATCATTAAGCTAGTTTCCGTGCTGTATGATCAGATGAGATACGATGCGGCGGAGATTATGTATAAGCGTGCAGTTGCGGTGGGGGAAAAGGCTCTGAGGCCAGACTACGGGGCGACTCTAAAAAACGCCGACTGCCTCACGACGATTATCCGGGCCCGAGGATCGGGTGCCTTGGGTGGGGTGTCGTCGGGGTGAAGGGCTTATGTTTTGGCGGCCGGCGGGCTGGTATGATAATATCATAATAATAATATTATTATTATTAGAACTTTCAGTTGTTGACTATGAGGTGTTGTCCCCACACCCCCTCACCTTAAGCGTAGGGTATCGGTGTTGGCTTTGCTTCTTCACACTCGCCACCATCAGGCCTCAGGCCTTGAACATTTGGCTTATCCTGCTACCCTCCCCCCCTTCCATGGTATGCATCGCGCTCACTGCTTGGTTTATACTATGGAGCTTTTAGGGATGGTCGGTTGTTCGTTTATTTTCTTGGTCGTTCTACTAACGCACCGCCATTTCCCGAGTGTTTCTTTGCATTTGGTTCGTTCTTTATGCTTTGCAGAGTTTTGTTCGGTCTCCAGTGTTAGTTGTTCAGGGAGGTACTGTATATATATCTCCTGGTATTTTCCTATGATAGCATCTCTATCAATCATCTAGCCTTTACGGTACTAAATCGAATCGGTTTTCTCGGTTTAGAATTAATATTTCCCTTATTACCCCAATCGGACCTTGAAGGCCCAAAACA